TGGAGTATATGGTCCTGCCCAGGGACATCGCAATGTTAATTGGACCATATTTTTTTATATGAATTGAGGTTAATTTTGGAGTACTCCTTGGTCCTTCGGGAGTACTCTTTACATGCATGCATGGAGTAGTCGCGATTTTTGCATCCTAAAATCTTAAGCACAAAATATACAGTGGTAATATGGTAGCGCGCTGCTAAGCACTACACCACAGCGGTCGCCGATATCGAAATATTTACGCATAAGAATTATCAAAAAAAAAAGTATCGATAACAAATAGGCATTAGCATTTTTTTAGTTTATTTTTATGCTAATAGGAATTTCCCTTTCCAACACCGAGCGCATTCATTCCCAGTAGCATTTGTAGGCAAATGCAGCCAACTTTACTATTATTTACGTACATCAGCTGTTTGAAAAGTTTATTAATTGGCAATCAAGGCCTTGTTATCAATTTATTTTGCTGTTTTCCTATCAAAAAGAAACTCACTTGTCAAATTAGCAGCCATAAATTTTTTTTTGATAAATAAATGTATTTGGTAGAGTATCTACACAATTTTAAACCCGAATAAATTAAATATATGTGCATTTTAATTGAAGGCAATTGAGACACCATTCCGTACGGCAGTATGCAAAATTGAAAAGCTAATTATTTTTAAAAGGTAAGTAAAGAAGTCGTCGACCAGTTTATAAATTGTGTCAGTGACCGCGCCAATGTTAAGCTAAATATATAAAATATGCAAACTTGAATGCAGCGATACAATTAACACTGTCGGACGATCTGTTTTCGGGAGTACTCAATCCGCTGAGGTGCAAACAAACAAAGCATTGAAAAGAATGAGTACAATAAAAAGATGTCCACCCGTATGTAACTATGTACATGCATATATACATATGTAGACATTGCTTGTGTATTTGCCTGCTGTTATAAACTCTTTTAGAGCTCATAATACTTGTTATCAGACGGACAAAGAAAATTAACATTTCTCCCTTTATTTCATATACTTTATCATCAACAAAGTTATTAGGTGCGCCCGTACTACATCAGCAACTACATATTTATGCAAATATATAGTACATATACCTAATGTACGTGAAGTAAACTTTGTGTTCAATTGAACACTTTGCAATTAGTTAATAGCGCGCCTTCAACGGGTACACAAGCATAAGATATACATAGTACAATCGCGCCGCCTGCAGATCGACAGTGTGCTCAGAAATACGTGCTTTGTGTGTCATATGTATATATGTACATACACACATATGTACCAACCGAAAGTGATTGATTATTAAAGTACAAATTCCAAATAAACTAACGAACCCAACGAGAAGTAAGTGAAGGAGTTAAGATGCCACCATTCCAAGTTGTCGATTGCACAAAGGTATTAACAGGTGGAGTGAATCGGGCATTTGGTAATAGAGAACCTTGGCTAGTAGCAACTATTACGGCGACAACGGTGCTGGGAACTGTTTGGCTATGGACATTTATCAATCATGATGAAAGTGAGTAAATCATATGAATGTTTGTAGTTTTGTATGTGTACAGTTTCGTTTGCCATTTCGCCGATTTTTAATTGCTAATCGGTAAGAAATTTAAGAAATAATGAATTGCTAATTGGCGGTTTTGTACTTGCAGCCATTCATTTAATATTAGTTGTTATATAAAGCATAGTTCTATTGAACATCTTGTCTGTCTTACTTTAGTCTAATTATCGGCAATGTGCTTTATGCTAATGTTATTGGATCAGACCGGTAAATTGATAATTTTTTCTTTGAGCAACAGCACAAATATATAGTATTTAATAGCACTGATAACTGGGGCTATAAACATTGTATACATACAAGTGATAAGAGTGGAAAAAGAAAAGTAGGGTTTGCTTTTCTAATGTTTATGTACTTTTAATACAGTCTAATGGCAAATTAAAATTTTGAAACTAAAATTTGTCAAGAAGACATTCTTTACAATCCTTCTATATGTAGATATCGTCGTTTAAAGTACAAAACCGCATATCAAGATAATGCAAAACGCTCCTATGTGAGGTTGCCCAAATTTTACAGTAGAGAGTAAAAACATTCGCATTTCAGGCTAGTATACATATTTCAGGACGAATGGATAAGGCTTGAGCCAGAGCTTCGGTGAGCAAATCCAATTTTTGGCAAAAAATGTTAGTTATGCAGTTTTGCAGAGCGACGATACCCGTTTCTGTACTTTAACCGATGATATATATGTATATAGTATGTCTAATGAGCAGCGGTACAAAATTCTTAATGCTCGGATACGGGGCCCTGTACTAGCAGGTAAATACTACCTTATGCCAAGCGTATATGCTCTAAAAGAGCTTTCTGGGATATTGCGTCTTCTCTTCAAATAAGATTGTAAAAACATTACTTAGCGGTAGAGTCAGTCGTGCATTCCATCAGCAAAAACAAAAAATATATTCCGTAGGTCATCATACTCTATTTCAGTTCAATATAAATTTGAACGCTTTTGTTTTCCTTTTAGGGTTCAAAACAGATTTTATCATGGTTCAAAGTTCGATTATAGCCGATTTCGTTAATCTACTGTACTTGCCAGGCCTAATTTTCGAATCCGATAGGCCATAGATTGAGCTGCTAACCGTATACAGAATTTTATAATCGCAAATTTATTCATTGCAAGTCAATTGGGTTTTGTAATATGTACATATCGTCGTTTAAAAAGTGCCTTTTTGGCACAAATGTCTGTTATGAGGCTGCGCAGAACCACGATACGCGGTTTTGTTCTTTAAACGGCGATATGTAGGTGGAAATTTGGAGACAGTCGCGCTCTTTTATAGAAAAAAGCTGAATGTTTTTTCTATTTTCGAATATATTCTCGATTACTATCTCTTCTCGCCCTTTTTTTAGGTATTTTAGTGCGCGGCAAACGTCAATTCTTTCGTCTTGCCAAACGGTTACCCGCTGTACGTCGCAAAATCGATGCAGAAGTCTCGAAAGCCAAAGACAATTTCGAGGGTGAAATCCGCAGAAGCTGCACAAATCTTACTTGGTCACTTGAACTGCCCGAACACGGATTGGGCCATGATGAAATTCTGCAACTGGTTGATAAACATTTAAATATCGGTCATTATAACTGGCGCGAAGGGCGCGTATCGGGTGCAGTGTATGGTTTCAATGAGGAATTGGTTGAGCTAATTACCCAAGTTTATGGCAAGACATCCTACACGAATCCACTGCATCCTGAAATTTTTCCTGGTGTATGTAAAATGGAAGCAGAAGTGGTGCGTATGGCATGTACGCTCTTCCATGGCGACGCCAATAGCTGTGGCACGGTAAGTGTGCTGAAAACCCCTTTAATAGAAGTAATTAAGAAATATATATATATTTCAGATGACCACCGGCGGCACTGAATCTATATTAATGGCCTGCAAAGCATATCGTGATTATGCGCGTGAGACACGTAACGTACAGCGCCCGAATATGATTGTGCCGAAGACAGTACATGCAGCATTCGACAAAGCAGCACAGTACTTCAATATACATATCAGATATGTGGATGTGGATCCGAAAACGCTAAATGTAGATGTAAAGGCCGTAAAACGTGCTATTAACTCCAATACAATACTGGTATGCTGAGCTCATCTTAATTAAGAATTTATCGTTGGTAAAAAACATAAAACTATCCCTTTCTAGCTCGTCGGCTCAGCACCTAATTTTCCCTATGGCACCATAGATGACATCGAAGCCATTGGCGCGCTTGGTGTCAAATACAACATACCCGTGCATGTGGATGCATGTCTGGGTAGTTTTGTTGTGGCGCTGACAAGAGAAGCGGGCTATAAAATCCCACCATTCGATTTTGCTGTCAATGGCGTAACTAGTATCTCAGCAGATACACACAAGGTTTGTCAAAAATAGCTCGATTTACTGTATATCCAGTTGAAACTGAAGTATACTCTTTTCTGTTTAGTATGGCTTTGCGCCCAAAGGTTCCTCAATTATATTGTACTCCGATCATAAATACCTCAATCATCAATTCACTGTAACCACCGATTGGCCAGGCGGCGTCTATGGCTCACCGACTGTGAATGGCTCTCGTGCAGGTGGCATTATTGCTGCCTGCTGGGCGACTATGATGAGTTTCGGTCATGAAGGTTATCTAGAAGCGACTAAGCGTATTGTCGACACAGCGCGCTACGTTGAGGCTGGGTGAGTAAGCAATTTAAACACTAAACGTTTCATGCCAAAAGCATAAATGTATTTTCAGCATACGCGCAGTGGAAGGCGTCTTCGTGTTTGGTAAGCCCGCCACTTCAGTGGTGGCAATTGGTTCAAATGTCTTCGATATTTTCCGTCTCTCGGATGCGTTATGCAAATTGGGCTGGAATTTAAATGCGCTACAATTTCCTTCGGGGTGAGCTACGATTTAATTTGAATAAGAACTCAAATCTTATATTCTCTCCGTTCTTAGCATTCATATTTGCATTACTGATATGCATACGCAACCGGGCGTGGCTGATAAGTTCCTAGCTGACTTCAACGGGGCCGTTGAAGAGATAATGAAGGATCCTGGCCGGCCAGTTGAGGGTAAAATGGCTATTTATGGCGTGGCTCAAGGTATACCAGATCGCACGGTGGTGGGCGATGTGACGCGTGCTTTCCTCAATAGCATGTACTATACGCCAAACAAGAAATGAGTTCTCGGGCGGAAAGTACACTTTGAGCGTGAATATTTTGTTGTTGATGTTTTGTAGTAGCGTATTTAAGTGTAGAGAATTTAGATGTCCCCATTTTTGGGCAGAAGTTTCGTATAAAGAGTTGTGCAATTTTTTTGAGAATGTAATTTTTTATATTAGATGTCCAGATGCGACTCAAAATATAATTTTTTTATAACACATACTAATTACCCGAATGCAAATTTGATTAAAATATATTATTGTGGAATAATCATTTGATTATTCTTGTCCTGCCTAATTTTAATGAAAATTCTTTTTATCAATAATTAGTCGGAGCTGGATAATTATGATGCTTGCTATAAAAAGTACTTAGTATTCAATTTAAAATACATGTACCTAATTTCTATAATTCAAAATCGATTTCCAATAAGGTCCTTTTTTACATATTTTGATTTATACTTTTTTAATGGCTTTTTCATTCCAAGTTTTTCTTAATTTGCCTCAGCCTCATGGTCCTTTAACTATATTATGATTTTTTAAGAAAATACACACAAATGTATGTATGTATATATGTATGCAAAGGATTTTCGAGCCCATCTATACATACATATTTATAGTTTAAGCGTAATGATAAAAACAAAACTTACATGCATATATCTTTAAAAATGTTTTTACTTGCAATATGTTAAATGTACACATTAGTTGAGATAATAAATGTTTCTATTAGCCAGAAAATCTAAACAATGTACATACATATACACCTGTACAATTAACTAAGAGTTTCAAATTTAATTCCAGACTGCATGTACATAATTACATATGTATGTGCATACTTAGGTGTTCAAATTAAAACAACTTTGCTGATATTAGCTTAGAAAATGAGATATTGTTGCACATAGAACCATCCCTGCCTTGCGTGTATACAGCAGTGTCGGGCAGGAGAAGCAGACGAAGAAGGAAATCATTGTCTCTGAAAAGGTCGGAAACTGATACACGACTATTCGTTACCAAAGAAAATGAAGAGAGTTCCATCATACTTCGCAAAGAGGAATAGGTCTGTGGCAAAAATCTAGGCGAAAAATGTAGCTGCCTCTGGAAGCCAGAATAAGATATTGAAAAGAACTAGGTGCGAGGTTCCTGCAAAGGAGTTGGAAAAACCGAAACCTACTTCATTCTTTTACTGCAGGTGGCCGTCACCGACAAAGTAAAAAAAAAAAAACTGAGGAGATCATTCAAAAATCGGATACCGTGAAAAATACCGACGATTCCCGGCAACAGGTGCTTTTTAGGTAAAGCTATTATATCAGCAAGTTTTTAGTAAACGATTCTCAAAGTTTGTTCACGAAATGGCGTCATAGTAGCAACATAGAAGCTCTAAGACGCACTTTATACAGTAATAAAAAAGTTATTTAAAATGGCCAGCAACCTGCTTTTTGACATGTACATACCTACGTAATCAGGTAAGGGGTCGACTTTGACAACTTCCGCTTTTCTGTGACTTCAAGAAATTATTTTATAACCTGTCTGAGAAGTGCATGCAATAATATGCAAAATATAAGTTGTTTGCGTAACTTATGTTGCATACTTCTAGGCACATTATTAGTTCATCTAGGAACAACGCGAAAGCAATAGGGGCTAGACTTTAGAACAAAATTGCAGGTGATCTAAGATTTTAATATACGCAAATTTTTCTTTAAAAGATTAATCGATGATTAATAATCACCAATAAAAACAAAACAAAATAAAATTTGAGTAAAATCGAGTAACTTACAGAAAGGCCAAAATACAATGATCAACAGTAAATCACCATGCACACAAAAGCACAAACTGCAATGGTACCCATCAATAAAAAAGAACAACAACAACAACATAAAGCGCACTAAAAATGGCAACCGGCAACATAAATAATAAAACACCCACACAACCAAATAGCTTCGAATATGGCATGGAGCGCTGCGCCGACACAGCAGACATAGCAACGCCAAGAGGCAACAACAAAATTATGCAAGTAAAAAAACAAATCGAAAACGAAAACAGTCTGCCACAAATGGCTGTCAGCAGATGGAGCAGCAACAAAAACAGCTAAAAGAAATGCAAGCAATTGAGCCGAAAAGTGGCACACGAAAAAAATGTCAACTGTTGACAGCAAGTAACACGATCAAAAATCGGCTTTTGGCCGATGAACATATTAAAAAATAAAAGAAAAGGAAATGATTTCAGAAATACTACTCCATATGGATCTTATGTGCGTTGTGTCTGTTTCCAAATGACTAACCCTGCCAGCAAATGGAAGAGGACTTTATCGTCACTATTGGAAGTTATCAAAGCGATAGGTATTTATTACACAAAATCAAAAAAAAAACATGTCTGTCGCTTTTCTATCTTCTTAAAGATGCCCGGACGATTTTGACTGGAAATGCATTTTTTTTAAATATGCGAGAAAAGAAAAAATTGTGGAGAGCTTTTTCGAAATAATTATTGTTGGGAATAAAAATGAATGGATTCCAAAAAAAAATGAATGAACTTAAAAAAAAATTTTTAAACTGTACTGCACTTTTTTCTAAATGGAGTGTTTTTTAAGAATTATTTGTGGAAGTAAAAATCTATAGATCCGAAATTTTTGATATTCTTCAAATTAATAGCAGAAATTTGCAGAAATATATATGTTTTTTTTTAATTAATTAAAATTTGAGTAGAAACTTTCTATGAGCTTTAGTTCCTTAAAACTTGTATTTTTTGCCTAGAAATATATATAAAAGGTTATTTAAAAAGCACGAGAGACACAATTTTGTTTAAACTTTTTCAACTTTTGTAAAGGAGTATTAATATATATATATTTTAAATTGAAGCTTTTTGAAAAGAACTTTTTTTCGAAATAAAACGTTAACGCTTTAAATTGTAAGAACTATTTCTAAACAAAGTGTAGAAATTTTCTTCAAAAGAAAGGAATTTTTAAAATAACACCAAAAAAATGTCCACAAAATTGCCAAAATATTTTTGAATTTATATATTTTTCGTAAGAAAAACATTTTTCTGAACATTTTCTTTAAAAACTATATTTTTTAACTTACGAAAATTAGCATTTAAATACAAATTTTGATGTCAAATGTGTTTGAAGGACAAATAAATAAGAAGCTACTTGAGAAAACGACCATTATAGTTATAAAAAAATATTAATAAAGATCGAAATTTACTATTTTTCCCAACTCAAAATAAGTCATTTCTTTTTTCTTTTCTTAAAATATGCATATTATAGTTAAAAAACTTTTTATAACTAGCTTCCTTAAAATATCTGAAACTTACAAAAAAAAAATTATTATTTGTACAAAAAAAAATGAAAATATTTTTACAAAAAAAAATTATCCTTAAACTTTTACAACTATTTTACGTACAAAAATAAGTTAAAAATTTACATATTTTTCTGCTTGAAAAAATTTTTCCAACAAATCTTAAATCTCTAAAATTCCATCAAATGCTTGTTATGTTGCGTGTTTTTTTCGCGCTTGAAATTCCGGTTAACTTTATTCAATAAACGAATGGCCAGGTGAGCAATTGAGTAAGCGATTAGCAATTAAATTCAGGGAGCGACTTAGTGTACTCTTCTGGTAACTCTCCAGCGCTTCAGAGAATAATCAAATGAAACCAACTCAAATTTGTGTTAACAATTTTTGCAGTGACATCACAGCCAGACCTCGCACACTTGTATACTTGGGCTCGGCAGTTAGCTAATTCTAGCAGTCAGTCACTGTCGCTGATAAGTAAGTCTCCACAAAAAATCTACAATTAGCAAATGTGATAAATAGCGAAAACAACCACGCTTCCTCCCTCCTTCCTACAAATGCAGAACAAATACCTATGTATGTATGTATGTAAGTTATTTATGTCCATATGCCCATTTGTAGAGAACTCATAAATATTGTTAGCCCACTTTTTTAGTCGTTTTTGTTTTTTTTTTCAACGACGCTTACCTCAGCACTGCCACCTTTTGTACCTCCACTCACAACAGACAGTAAAACTTGCTCATTTGCGCTCTGCCTGCCGCTCCAACATCCGCTGCTTGCATTTGGCCAATACACAACAGCAACAACAAAAGTTAACCAAAAGAGTGACTGACTGGCTCCAGCAGCGGCCAATCGCATAAGTTCCATAATGTCGCCACTTCAAATGTGAAGCGACGTTCGCAGCGAATGGTTGGTGGATCGTTGTTATTAGTACTGCGTAGCCGTCGGCGTTAGCCGTGTCACAAATAACAAGTGCAAAGGGAAAAATCAAATAAAAAATAAAAAATAATAAATAAATAGGCAAAAAATAAGAAGAAGCAGCAGAACATTCGTTGTTGATTCTTTGGTGTTTTTGGACACCCAGAGACGGCGCGTATGACTCCAACTGATGCGAGTGTATTAAATAACAGCACGGAAAGAATGCAAAACTGAAGTGCAGTGATATTCAAAATGAATATTTAAAATCTTCTTCATGCTATTCAAGAAAGTGCCATTGTTCTTGCTGCTTAGCAGTGACAGTGTTTCGAAAGTGCAAAAATTTAATTGAAAATACGAATTTCGACGGAAACGCAATTTGATAAAGAGTTTTTGAAACAAAAAAAAAAATGCAAACATACTACACATTTCTATGGTGACATATAAAGCAGCACAGTGTGCGTAACTTAAAAATTTTGAGAGAAAATATTTTCAAAGGTGCTTATTCTAACAAACGCTTCCTTTTGGAAGGAGATTTTTTTATCTTTATCTTAGTGTAGAAAATTTAGTTAAAGCAATATTTTTATATTCGAAAAGAAACCTGCAGCACAGTGTGCGTAACTTAAAAATTCCGAGAGAAATTATTTTGAACGGTGCTTATTCTAACAATTTATTTTCTTTTGGAAGTAGATTTTTTTAACATCTTAGTGTAGAAAATTTAGTTAAAACAATATTTTAATATTCGGAAAAAAATTTCCAGGGATTTTTATAAGTTTTAGGTATTTTTTTAATTATTTTTTTATTTTATTTAATGTAAAAATAATAAGTTATGCAAAAAAACTAACGAAAAATATTTAAAATTGTAGGATATTTTATAAAAAATACGTTTCTTTAAGGATGTTAATATTTTGAAAATTTACTTTTTACTAAAAGCTGCGAGACTTTGCTAAGTACCTAGATTCTAAAATTTTTAGTGCCCTGGCTCAAACCTCCTGCATACCATTCTAGTCTCAGATAAATTATGTTGGTTAACATAAACGTACTTGTTTTACCCTCGGTGGCAGGTCTCTATGGAGTACCGGCTAATGGGACATCTGGTAATTTGCCTAGAGCGCACTCAGACCTGGTATTCCTTAAAACGGATCCAACTATAGATCTCCCATCTTCGGTCAGTAACTGAATGAATGTTGCGCTCAGCCTTCATTGGGAGGCATTGAGGATCTTCAACTGGGCATGTTGTCTTCAATTTAAGCGGTCTAACTATGTAGATAATTTTGCTTTCATTGAGTATTTAGAGTTGAGTAGAGAGTAGAGTTAGCTTGTGGGTTTGCTGACTGGGAACTCATCGTGTTACAAACACCTAAGCGGGTCGGTCACCTGACCATCCATATTTTACACTTACACGAAACCAAGGCTATGGTCGATGTATGACAACAAAATGGTTATCATGTTATTTCAGTAACAAGTGAGAGTTAAATTTGCGCGAAAAAAATAAGATTTTTGTCAGGTGGTGTCGAAAAATACGAGTAAAAAAAGAGCATTATTCAAGAAAGTGACCCGCTTTTCGGCAAAAGCTATATTTTTGCACTTGTTCGCAAACATATTCCTTTTACATTCTTTTTCGCTTCTGCTTTTTAATGATTTTCTTTTTTTTTTGTTTTTAAATTTTTCTACATTCTTTTGTTNTTACCACTCCCCGAACTGCTTGTTTACTCAATTTGTTGATACCAAGTCAAAGTCGCGTATCTTAACAACAAATATTTATAAGTAGAAAAAAAATACATTTATAAATAAGTACCTATACATACACATTCATAGAGGCAGAATCTACAGCGCATAAATAAACACTGAAATATGCGACTTTGCAAATGAAATATTTCTCTATACGGCCCTGCACTGGATGTTCCCTGAGCAGAATTAAGTGTCAATTATTGCATGGAAAAAATTATATTTTACCTCAGAAAGCAAGAAAATGAATACGAAGAAAACAAATTAGTACTAATTGTGAACAGCTGCAGTGAAAAAGTGAAAAAGTACCAGCATTTGCAATATACATACATATCTACATACTTATGCATGTACGTACATATATTTTTTATTAATTTTCAAGTGCAACTCAAAGTCGATCAGCGGTTTATTGTTTTTGACCGTTACAACAAAACGAAAGCAAAGCAACGTGCTGCTGTCTACTAGCGTCGCTTACTGTTCGTAACTTTAAGCCTTTGATCGTAGTGTTGCTTTGTTCTCATAAATGCTACTTTAGAATAAACATTTTTGCCTACCTATACGAAAATGTTAATGGATTATGAAAAAACGTATAAAGAAATAAACTTATTAATGCTCCGCTCAAAACTGGATTTCGACAAGTTTAACATTCAACTTGTATGTATTTATTGTCGTGGATTACGTGGACTTAATGACGTGAGCGGCTTACAATTTTATTAAAAACTAACAGGTAAACACACAATTCTAAGCAAAGATATGTATTTGTAAACTTTATATTGGAGATGAAATGCCATAGAATTTGTTGACTAATTTCGAGACTTCTAAACAAGTTTAACCGTAGATCGAGCTTAAAAAATAATTCATAAATGAAGCCATGAAACACAAAATGTGTACTGAAAACATGTATGTATGTATGTAGGTACCGCCTGCATAAGGGTGGGTAGTCATCCCATCGAATAAACAATTAGGGCCAAATTCACAGTGCGTAGTTAACTCGGAATCGACAGTTAACTAAAGTTTTTCAGTACAAAAATCTGTAGTTAACTGCCGATTCTGAGTTAACTACGCACCGTGAATTTGGCCTTTAGTATTCTAATAAATATATGCACATATTAAATAAATAATGAAATAACCCTGCGCCTCCCTCCTCGGCGTCCACTGTTTGACACTTACACATGTATGTATGTATATGAGCTCTTACTTGCACCGAAATGCGTCTGCAAATCGTTACACCCTAATAAACGAATGACAAAGCTGTCTACCTTTGGCTGATTAAGATGAACGGATGCCAGAAGCGAACGTTTTGCAGTATAACCGACGAAATCTTCAATTTAAAAATAATTTGTTTATGCTTATCGTTTTGGAACCTGAAAAAAAATCTTTAGAAAAAGTTTTTTTTCCGTTTTGATATAGTAACCTATTTTTTACGGTGTATTTTTTCGTTTTGTTGTAGCGAAATTGAAAAAAATACACTAAAAGAATTTTGTTCAACATTTACTTAAATAAAATAAAATAAAAAGAAACATTGCACTGAAAAAAAATCCAAATTACTTAATCTAAATCGTGCAAGTCGTTATTTCTCGACAAACTTATTTTATACTTTTAAATTTATTCTGTGTACTTTTCCGATTTGACGCAGTTTAAGGAAAACACAATTTCTTAGTTTTCAGTAATATTTTCTTTCTATTTAGGAATAAAATAAAATTATAGTTTAAAAAACTAAAACCTCCCTATTATAATTGCCATTCGTACTGTCATCAAGTATGTAACTTGAGAATAGAAATCGCTGCATTTTTTAGGCGCATCAATATTACATAGTTACATCCCGAGCTAATAAAAGGAAGGTAAGAAGGTAAAAAGGAATAAGTATGTCATTTTGCTCACGGCGCTCAAACAGTCGCCGAGAGATGTAAGGTTCGTGTCCCAGAGTAGGAAATTTTTTTATTGTTATTTTTTTATTTATTTTTTTCTTTTTTTCATTTACATATTTTTTATTTTTTTCTTTTTTCATTTATTTTTTATTTTATTTATTTTTTCATTTCATTTTTTTTTTTACTTTTTTTATTGAAATTTTTTAAATTGTATTAAAAGAATATCATAAATTTTTTATGGTATTTGAGAATTCAGGTTTTTCCATGTATGAAATTAATTTTATAATTTATAATTTATATTTGAATTGAAATAATTGACTTACCTTAGCAGTAGTCTTCACGCGACGCACAGTGGGGCAAAAAATATTGCTGTGGACAAATCAATTTTGAGAGCTCAAATATGAACCGATTTTAAGTTTCTTACATACACATTCTAATGTGAGAAATGCAATAACTCCCATTTATTTTGCATTTTGGCGTTAATATTATATATCTCTATATTAAGTTGCAGCACTCTACGATGAATACTTCCATAGACATGTTGTGTGAAAATTTCAGTTGTTATGGGAGGTGCCACGCCCATTGATATATCGAAATTATTTTTCTTCTATTATCAGCCTTGAGAGTCTAGATTCGATGTCCTAAATTTCAAAAATATCGGTACAGCTGTTATCGAGTTTTTCGAACAGAAAAAAACGGCTTTCAAAATAGATATTAGTAAAAATAACAAATTAAATACATTTTTTAATTGAATGTGTCCTATGGAAAAATATTTACGAATAATTTTTTAAATAATAGCACACATTTGAAATTATTGTTATTGTTAAGTATGTTCCAAAAAAATGGAAGTATTCAAAAGTAAACATTTTTTTCTTTAATTTTTCAACATAAATAAATAAAAAACTAGCGCTTTTCAAAAAAAAATCGCCACGGATAGATCGACTCGAAATTTCATTATCTCCTATTTAAACAAAAAGAAACTTGAGAAACGGTTCATATTTGGGCTCGCGAAATTGTTTGTCCACAGCAACTTTTTTCCCCCACTGTGCGACGCCACAGTCGACATTTGCGAGGAAAGCAATTAACTTCGTCTTAACAGCACTGACAAAATTATTACTTATATTGAGTAAATTTACGTCCTCAAATTAATGACGCACTATTTTTAGCATGAACCTTAATTAAGGAAAAACTTCTCAATTGAATACATTTTTCGTAATATTAAGGAAAAAACAGTAACTCTAAAATAAGGAAACTGGTTTCTTGTTTTAAGGAAATGCTTTTTTCTGAGTGTGTACTTATGTATATGTATGTATGTATGTCTGTTGAACATAGTTGCCATTAGCAATCTATTTTCCCCCAATCTTGTTTGTACGTGAAAGCACACGAATTTTTCCACAATTTGACTAATTTGATTTGTTTGCGGTGTAGGCGTTCCAACGGCGCATGCTCAGGCATACCGCTGTGGGGTAATGCTTGTGCACCAACAACTACAAGCTGGTATACATATACATATATAGTAGTTAGGTCTATTTGTTTGAATTAATTTAGAATGACAGAATGATGGCAGCGGTTTTGTCGCCTTAGGCAAAAACGAAAAATTAGTAGTTTACTGGTTGCCTGAGTAAATGCAAACAAACGCGACACACCTTAGAATCTGGGGACATATGTACATAAATATTTTTACGGTGAGTACAATGAACGGCCTTGTAAAAAAAAAATGGACAAATAAGACACACATAAGTAAGACTTAATAAAAAAGGAAATATGGATAGGAATTTAAAAAATGATGACTAGTCTTCAGTGTCGTTTCAACATTTTAAAAAATGTTATCAACTCTTAAAAATCAAAATACAAAATTTTCAAATCCATTTTACCAACATATTTTTCAGTTTTGTTATGAAAAGAACAAACTCTGACTAAGCGAAATTCTTCACTGTTCCAATCTTGCAGTATGATTCTAGATGTGTTCTGCAAGTGTAATAGAATTATCCGATGTGGCCGCTGTGGTGTAGTAGTTAGCAGTGCGCGCTACCATTTCGCAGGCCGCAGCGGTCGCCCCTTGGCAGGCAATGGCAAACCTCCGAGTATTTTTCTGCCATGAAGAACAGCTTTTCATAAAAAAGCAATCGCCGTTCAGAGTCGGTGTAAAACTGGCGATCCCTCCCCTTTGTGTGACAACATTAAAGCGCACGACGAAAATCGGAGGATAACCTAGGCCAAACACTTACACTTACTTACATATATTGCCGACGCAAAATATATAAAAGATATTCTTAGTAGTACACTGTATTGAAATCGGTAACTTAAGGAATGTTCAAGGTATCCCAAAACCGCCTTACATCTGCTGAGGGAAAGACGTCTCCTAAAGTCGTAAATAGTAAACAATATGTATGTAGCGATTGTTAGAATCTTACTATATGTATATTTCACCAGATCATCACCGGGGGCCTAGCATGAGATAAGATAAGTTCTTAGGCAATCTCCATGGCCCCATGGACATACATATGTATAATGCATGTAATGCAGAACTTTTACCAAATGTCCTCGAATAGATTACTTATCTTAGAGACCTTAGGTTTGGAAACTTCAGTATTCTGAATAGAATTACGAAAATTTTTCCTGACCTACCAAGAGTGCGATATAAAATTCTTCTGTTTTCTAAAAGATTTATGTTCTAGACCTGCCGAGAGTGATAATGCGAAAATCAAACAGAACTTAATAGCAGGTCTACTACCTATTTTAAGCCGACTCAAAGATAATCAATAACGTCGGTACTAATTTCATTTATCGGGGTACTTACTGAAATTCGGTCTGAGACTTACAGACCATTCGGACTTTTATGGGCGTGAATTTTCAGCCACAAGAGAAGTTGTTAACTGTCTATCACAATACTATATCGACACCTGAGTGGAAGATCGACCTATCTCAGAAAGCTTTTCAAGAATGCCCTACTTCAGTATTTGATTGAAGAACGCCCTATCTCAGCTGAAAATGCATTGAAAATGTGGGTCTACAAACAACTGCCTTTGAGTCCTAAATTTTCATCTCCTGCGCACTGACGCTCTGATAACTGCCTATCAAAGAGCTAATACACATTCGCTTGAAGCCCTTAATTTAGGGTACGGCTGAACTCACAGTAGCCATGTGTGAAACTGTAGAGCTAATGATTAGGCTAGGAAGGGCACCCTTGAAGAGTTATAAGTTTGCAAAGAAAGAGAAGTATCGGTGGTTTGCTCTCAGAACAATGGAAATAAGTCAGCTAAACTAAATCTTTGGCATGCAAGTTCCTTCTGACCTTCGGGGCATTGGAGACGGTAATAGAGTTGGTGTAACTGGGCCCTGTATGATGGGAATTCAGGTGTTGAATCTTAAAATAGTCTCCAGACTTAAACATATTGGTTTTCCTTTCTTGAGTACACTTAATGGGCCATCACTGTCACATGCCAAACTTTTTATCATAATCGCCGTCCTATCTGCAAACGAAGCCTGATATAGGCCGCATCTCCAACAGATGTGTTCGAGAAAAATATTCTTCGGAAGATATAAGTACCGTTAAGCGTTATTAACGGCGGGCACAGAGTCGATGAGCTGTATGAGCTTTACAACGACATTGATATAGTACAGCGGATCTGCTGTTTGGCTCTTGTCATACGAATGGTTGAAAATGCTCTAGGGTTGAAAGTATGCGGTATCCCCTAGTGGTGGTGGAGGATGAAAGCCACCTCTGTGTTGGAAATATAACGATAGTTTGCAGGCCAGTTTTTCAACAAATTTCTTCAAAAATTATAAACTAAGCATTCCTTTTACATTAAAAGCCGCGCTAAAATGCTCTTACGAGTATGAATTGAGAAGTAAGAACTGTCGTCCACCCTGACACTTTCTTCAAGTGACTTTTTTCGTTCAAGGCAATACACTTCTACTTTTAAAACTTAAAAAGTCC